CAGCTCCATCCATTCACCCTGACTCTACCCTGAATTAAGGGATTAAATTCATACGGTGAGGAGACGATAACATGCCAATTGGTTGGGATTAAATGGTTTCAAAAGCAATAATAGATTAGACGCAAGGTCTCATTGATTATGTATCTTACAAAAGAGCCAGTTTGGTGAGGTGTTTAAGGTAAGTGAGGGCCATAAAGAGGGAGGGGTTTTTTTTTTTAGTGTGAGTTACTCAATCTGGAAATGAAAATTGAATAATACATTTCAAAACTGTCTCCCAGAATAATCAAAACAGTCAGGAACTTCAATCAATTAAACCCCCTTTTTCTTGATCATCTGGCTGAATAAAACATGAGGATCCTTTCCCCTTTACCACCACCTAGATGAGCCATTTACAATGTTCATCAAATGTTCAGGATTCAAATATCTTCCATTTATAGGTTTTTCTGCGGTCACTGCTTGCTGGATTAAGCATATCACCACCCAAACCAGCCACATTGTGGGTCTCTGCAAAGCAAAAATATTGAGTTGTTAGGTTTTGTCAGTATAAGCCTTTTTCAACACAGTAATGATGTATTTTATTGTCTCTCATGCAATTTACAAACTTAAAAATGGGAGGTAGAAAGGGCCTCATAAGTGGAATAGCCTAGGGCCTCTTTTCATCTAAATCCGGCCCTGGAGGGGTGACTATAACATGCCATTTAGCTTGGATTAAATGGTTTCCAAAGCAATAGATCAGAGGCAAAGAATTATTAGTTATGTATCTTACAAAAGAATCAGTTAGGTATAGTGGTTAAAGTGGTGACCTAGAAACCAGCTGAATGACTTTCTCTCAGCCTATAACTCATCTCATAGGTTGTTGTTGTGTGGAAAATAAGAGGAGGAAGAAGTATTAGGTATATTTGCTACCTTCAGGTATATATAAAAAAGTGGCATAAAACAAGAGAGAGAGGGGGGAAGTGGGGGGAGTAAGGGAGGGAGGTGGGATTACTTTCCAAGACTTTGTAGAAATATTTTTGTTTTTCTTCCAATATCTGCAACTGATGTATTATTCATATCAAAGCTGATGAATCTGACGTATTCTTTTTCTGACACATAATTAAGAATAATTACTTATACTGTCTGAGTATATTTACAGTTATGCACACCATAGCTGTAAATATATCCAGTATATTTACTGGGTATACTTTAAGGATCTGAATTCAGAAGAAATAATAAAGTAATATGTGGCGTAATGCCTCACCAATCCAAGAACAAGCATCCTTATTTTAGGATTGTGCTACTGTTCAATGAACACCTAATGAAAACAATACTGCTAATACCTACAGAACATTTATGCATCCTTAGGGCTTGTCACCCAATTAAGATGCACCCAGAATTTTGGGGGATATATAACTGTTTTAAACAAAACAAATAAAATAAACAACAATTTCCTATTATGGGAAAAGTCCTAAAACAATGGGAACATCCCCCCTTGCCAGCCAATGTTTAGTCTCTTTGAAAGTATATTTTGTTATGTAGCCTGTAAAATTAGGCAAACTTTGACAATCGAGTGATGAACTCACCACGAAATGTAACATTTCATCTTTATTTTTAATGTTTTGTTTGCAAATCTCATAATAAAAATATTCACTCATTAAAGTTCATTTAAAAGGCATCCTTATAAGGAACCTGTTTAGGGGAGAAACTATTTATTTTATTTATAAAATTTATATGCCGCCCAATCCCGAAGGACTCTGGGCGGCTTACAAAAAAGAGGGGGGAAAAGACACATAACGAACACATAACGAAAGAAAACGGTTTAAAATAGCAACACCTCATACATTCATTCTCATCGGGGCAGGACCTCAACAGTGAGGTCAACAGCCCCAGGCCTTCCAGAACAGCCAGGTTTTTACAGCTTTCCTGAAGGCCATGAGGGTGGGTATGGTACAGATCTCTGGGAGTAGCTGATTCCAAAGATTCGGAGCAGCCACAGAGAAGGCTCTCCTCCAGGGCGCCACCAGCCGACACTGTCTGGCTGACGGCATCAGAAGGAGGCCCAATCTGTGGGATCTTACTGGCGGCTGGGAGGTATGTGGCAGTAGGC